CATTACTACTCAGCTTTAGTGTAACATGATTAGTGTAACATGCAGTATTTTGGATATTCTTGGTTCATTGAATTTCCACAAAATTTCCATAAATTCTGGATTGTATTTGTCTATATCTAAAAATCTGATTGGAGTGTGTATACTTGGAAAGAATTTTTGCCTTTAAAAAAAAACTGGTTGGAGTTTTGATGTAGAAGGAATTGTATCTTTAGATCAAATTGAGGAGAAATAACCTCTGTCTGTTAATAAAGGCCGTTTTGATTCTTCATTTGTAATCTAATAATTATAAACCTTCTCTTCTTCCTTCCTACCTTTCTTGTTTGTTTGTTTGTTTGTTTGGTACTGCTGAGAATTGAAATCAGGACCTCGTGCTTGCCAGGCAGACACTGCACTGCTGAGCTACATCCCCAGCCCCTCCCACCTTTTTGACTTCCTGTGCAAGTACTATGTACCAGAAAGTGTTCTTGCTTTGTTTTTGATTTTGGTACTGCAGATCGAACTCAGGTCCTTGGGCTTGTGAGGCAGGCAGCAGAACCACTTGCCTTGTTTTTGATGTCGGTGAGGGGAAGATGTTCAGTAAAAATTTCATATTAAGTATGCTACCTGGAAGTTTTATAATCAACTTGAAGAAATTCTTTTCTGTCTCAAGTTTGCTGAGATTTTAAAAAAATGAATGTTAAATTTTGTCATTGCCTTTTCCATATCTATTAAAATAATCGTATTTTTAATCCCTTAGTAGTATGAGTTAAATTAACTTTTTGACAACTATAATCCAGACTATTTCCATTTTGCCAGTTTTTCCACTGATGTCCTTTCTCCTTTTGTTTTGGGATCCAATCCAGGGCAACACGTCTTTGTCAAGTCTCTCCTTTGTCCTCTGTTCTATTTATCAGTTTTTCTTTTTAGTTCATGACTTTGAAAGTATCTTGCAGAATACCTACCTGCCAGTCAGGGTTTTTGTCACAGTGGACTAAAGCTAGGGCTTTTGGAAAGAATGTTCCAGAGAGCTGAAGTACCCTTCTCTTGTGATCCTACCATTGGACTCATGTTATCCATGTTGCATATTGGAGATCTTCATCATGTAGTTGTTACTCTTTCCCTTTCCTTTTTTTGTTCTTGTTTTTGTTCTTTGGAAACAAGTTTCTAAGTATAGGTTTGCCCTCCAGGAGGGTGAGGGAAGGGATTTAGCTCCACCTTCTGGAGAAGGAGGAGTATCTATCTACATGTATTTGGCTCAGGGTAAGATTTGTTAAACTGAGTTTTGAATGGTAAGTCGGCCTTGTTTCTCTAGATAAACTGTACTTGGTTGTGATGTATTACCTTTTTTAATATTTTGCTGGATTCTGTATGCTTTTCCAAAGGAGTTTTGTGTATGTATGAAGGATATAGATCTGTAATGTTTTTCTTTTAAATTTTAAATAATTTTGATTGTCTTAATATAGTTAGATACTACTTTGATTTATATCTGGCATTGTACTAATGAATCATTCTCTTCTTAGTCTATAAATAAGCATTAAAAACATGGAAGCAGCATCTCTCCCGATTTTGGTTTTGTTTTTCTACTTTAGAGATTCACCCCTTGTTTCTGTTTAGATTCAGGAGTTGAATATTGAGTCTTCTTTTAACACATTAAACTCTTATGTTCAATTTGGAATTCAGTGGAGAATTTTAAAATATCAGTCTGTGTCTTGCTTCCCTTTAGAACTTCTAATTCTTTAGAAATACATCTATGGGAAGGCTTAGGTATACTTACACTTAAGTACTTTTATAATGATTTTTATATGCACTCTTTATTGAGAACTAAAAGTCATCCAGGTTTTCAAAATAAATCAGTGGCTAAAAATGAAACTTTTGAATACCTTTGACAATATTTATAATAAAATACAAGTTTAGAAACCTACTTTCTTTGAGTAGGTACCCTTTATTAACTAAATCTTTCTGGTTTTCAGAATAAATCAGCTAAAAAAATTAAAGCTTTGCATATAGTTGGTGGTATCTATTGTAAAGAATACATTTGTCAAAAATTGATTTTTGAAAGGAAAGTTTATTACAGTAAATAGGGACTAAAATCAGGAGATCCTACACCAAGCTGGGAAAAGCCAAGTTTATCACATCTGTGTATGAATGGGCTGACGTGGGAGAGAGAGATAGCAGCAGCTAATTGGGAGAGATTTCATCTGTGAGTAGATGGGCTAAGACCAGGGGAGTGGGGGAGAGAGGTATTAACAACTAATTGGGAAAGGAATTAGGCTTATATAAGTATTGAAGGGGCTAAGGAGTCTGGGGTGAAATGTTTGAGTTGGATGTCCAAGGACAGTCTGCACATGTAAGTAGACAGTTACTGACTTCTCAGTGCCAGGGAGGTGGAGATTGTAGAGTCATTTTGAGTCCATTTGCCCTATTTACTGAGATGTTGCTGCTGTTTGCTAAAAGCTTGTTGGTTTAGGCCAGGCCTGACAATATCCATAGTAGAATCAGAGTTTAAATACATATTGAAATTCTCATACAGTATAATCAGAATAATTTGATTTTAATGTAATTTACTACTACTCATCAGCATAATTTTACTTGCGAATAGAATTTTGCTTGTAAATTTATGTAGAGGTTAATAATTTGGTAGATAGATTACTTAATTCTATAAGCCATATGGTCAAGGGTAAGTCTTGTTCTTAGACCAAAGGTTAGTAACCCTAAGTACAGGAGTCTTAGTGAGTATTGTCAGGTGCTGTCAGCTGTGCTTGGGCCCTGGAGTCAGTTCAGGGCTGGCCGAACTCTTGATACCTAGTTCAGGGCTTACCTGGGCCACAGGTTTGCATTGTAGGTCAGTGCTACCACTCCAAAAACTACTCTTGGGTTGTCCTTTTGTAGTTATGCCCCCTATACATTCTTGACCACTGGACACCAGTACAGTTTTGTCTCTTGGTAGATGTCACATTTGGAATCACTGCAGTATGTAATTTTGTTGGGGTACTTGTATGATTTCAGTCCATTTGTATCCAGAGTTCACACCTTTTAATTGCCCAATAGCACTTCCTGTTTGGATATAACACAGTGCATCCATCCACACTCATTGGAGGCCATGTGTCTCCAGTTTTGGTGATCTTGAAAACAGCTGTAAGCATTTCCTTGCAGGCTTTTACTTGAATACAAAGGAATCATTTCCCTGGTGTAAATAACTCAAAGTGGGATTGCTGGATCACGTCTGTATTTTTTTTTTTTCTAGTGGGCTATAGTATTTGTTTCAAAGAAACAGTTTTCAGATCATCTTGTCCTCTTTAGATTTCTTAGAGATTTGGGTGGAGAATAAACTACATACATTTCAGTACTGTTAGGTTTACATTGAATTTGTTTGAAAAGGCAGCTGTAATTGTAATAGTTGAATTTAAAATGCTGTAGTCAGTCTTTGCCTGTGTGGTGATGATTTCTTCTGTGACTTTACTATTCAGTGGTCTATGGAATCTGGTGTAGGCTTCCCTTGGGAGCTTGTGAGAAATGCAGACTCTCAGGCCTCACCCAGTCCCTGCTCAGTCAGAATCCTCTTTGAGCAGGGTTTTCAGTGATTGACATACATGCTGATGTGAGCACTGCTGGGCACTGGAGAGAGATACTTCATGAGGGCCTGGCCGGCCCCTCCAGCTTCTCTCAGATCTTTCACTCTAATTTCATAGACTCAGAAATATTGCAATAATAGAAGCAAACTAGTAATAATGGCAGTAATAATGGTATCAAATTCTGAGATTTTGCTGCTTTAGAATGCTTCAGTATCTGAACATCAGAATATTGAAAGTGGTATTGCAGTCATTAGGCTGAAAATGAAGATCTAGTTGCAGTTATCCTTTTGTTTTCAGGCACAGAAGTTCCTGAAGATTTTTTTTTTAAATGTGGAAAATGTTGAGGATGGGAAGAATACAAAATGATAGTGTCATGTTTTTTTCCCCCCCGTGTGAGTTTTCTGATACAGCAGTTTAATTATACTTAAAGAAAATTTAAAAATTATTAATCATGAGAATAAAGGGGCAAATTCTTTTTTTATAAAATTGCTAAGTAGTGTTTAAATGAACCACACACTCAGTAGGCACCTATCTTCCACCTAAGAGTGATTGCTGAGCCTGACCTTTGGAGAAAGGAGGTGATAACTCGGCAGTAAGAATTGTCTGTGAGGAAGCTGCTTTGGTTTGGGGCGAGGCTAGAATAAATTTTTTGGGGGAGGTACAAATATAATAAACAGAATAAAAGTTGGCCTTTGTGTGGTGTGGCTGAAGAAAAAAGTAGTTTTGGTTTTTAATTAGGCTTAACCCTAGGGATTAGACAGTGGATGAAGCTGGAAGGAGTGAGGAGGAAGAAGATCAAAGTACATAGGTCTGGAGTCAGGACTTGTGAGCCCTCGTGGTTGGCAGGAGTGTGATGTCATCTAATCGAAGTTACAAGGAAGGGTATGTAAAATTCATAGAACTCTTGTGTTTAACTTAGACAGAATATATAATTTTTTTTTTTTTTTGAGTCAGGGTCTCACTATGTATTTCAGACTGCCCTGGAACTCACTATGTAGCCCAGGTTGGTCTCCAACTCACAGCGATCTTCCTTCCTCAGCCTCCTGAGTGCTGGGATTATAGGCGTGTGCCACCATGCCTGGCCGGAATATATAAGTTTTAACTTTGAAATTATGTTCAGTTTAAGTTACATTGATTTTTGTTTGCTGTGATCTGGATTAGAGGTGAGGATAGGTCTCGCAGAAGTATTTGCAGTTATGTTTGTCCTCTCAGATGTGTAAGTAGAAACCATATGTAGGACACTGAATATTAACTAAAAGCAGAAATTTGAGCTTTTTCCAATATTAAGTTAATTTTTAACACTTGAAATTATTTTTTCTTTGGGTCAGTTCAGTGTTTCTTGGGGCTTTATGTGAGGAAATTTTGAAGTATCTTCACATCTTAGATATAACCTAATGTATTTTGGTGTTCATTCTCCCTCTTTGTTTGGTTTCTGTGTCTGCCACGTAGGGAGGTATGGAAACTTTGGAGCTCCAGAAGGATGTAAAAGAAGAATCAGATGAAGAAGATGACGAGGATGAAGAATCTGGACGATTACGTTTCAAAACTGAAAGGAAAGAAGGAACAATTATTAGGCTCTCCGATGTAACTAGAGAGAGAAGGAACATTCCAGAAACTTTGGGTAACTTCTTTTTCCTGTCTTACCCTTCCTCATGCTCATTTTAAATTCTTTTATAGTTTAAATTAATCACACAAAGAAGGAAGGCTACCTGTAGGTGATTGTGGCTGTCATCTAGAGGATGGATGGTCTGTGTGAGGTCATTGCTTAGTTGTGGTGTGAAGGCCCTTCAGTCTGGATGAACAATTTGAATGAGGCCTGTGCTGTTGCTTGTTTTTTTGTTTTTTTGGTACCGGGGATCAAACTCAGGACCTTGAGCTTGTGAGGCAGACGGCAGCACCACTAAGCTAAATCCCAGGTCCTCTTGCTTGTTTTTAACAGTTTTCATTTGGCACCTGTGGTCTAGAGCTGCTCTCCTGTGAAATCTGCTTTCCTGGCTACTCCTGGGTGGAGTAGGGGTGGGGTATGGGAATGCTAGACAGGGCCCTTTGGACCTTCCCAAGAGGGTTGCCAGGAGTAATTCTAGACCAAATTGGATTTACCATACCTTCAGCATCTTCATAGCTACCTTTTTTTGGTTATCTGCTTCTGTTTGCCTTCCTTATGTTAAGTGAGGGACTTAGTATATAGAAATGATGAACTGTCACTCTGAGCACACTCTGCTTTGGGGTGATGTGCTGCATAGGGTTGCCGACTAACAGCAGGGACCTCATGGCTCTCCTGCAGTAAGTTCCAGTGTCCCTTCCCATCAGGTAGTGCTTCTCAAGTTTGTCTGAGTGTCAGAATCACCTGAAGGAGGCTGGGGTCAGTGGTAGGAGCACCTGCCTGCAATCACCTCAAGGAGTTTGTTAAACAAGTTTTTCAGCCCACTTCCCAGCCATCTTGAGAGCTAAGCTTTGTGCCAACTCAGGTGCTGCTGTTTGGACCTGAAGTCTGAATATGCAGAACCACAGGAAAGGATGATGCTGACAGGACATGGGCTTGTGCCTGCCCTTTGGTCACAGTCTAGGTCAGTGGTGGTGAACCTATGGCACATTATTTATTTTTCTTTTAAGGCAAAAGATACTAATGGGTGAATTTTTTTTTTCTAAACTAAAACCAGAGTGATATTCAAATTTAATTGCTGTGTTGACACTTTGTGATAAGTAAGTGGATTTTGGGTTGCAGTTGGAACACTTGTCTAAAAAGTTTGCCGTCATTAGCCTAGGTAAAAATCATTATCAAGCCACTATTACTGTCTTTATTTTAGGAAACATTTTTATAGTTGCTTTTAACCCAAAACATGAACATGTGTCTTTGAGAGGCAGAGATAAATTCTCCAACAGACATGAAGCTCCCCAGGCACAGAAGTTGGCAGCAATAAGCTGGTCTTCCATGTTATGTTACTGATCAGGTTTTATAGAGTCTGCTATACTCTCAGCCTTCTCCATCTCCTCTGTCTAGTTGCCTTCTTCTCCACCTTTGGCCAAGATTTCCCTATACTGTCTCAGGTTATGGTATAAAATTGCCAGTTGGTCTGAACCAGATTTCATAGAGACAGTGTAATATTTCTTAGAAACTTGCAGTGTTTCTAAGAAAGTGGACTTGAATTTTGCCCTGGGAAAAGAAGGTGAGGTTAGAAGAAACAAAGATACTTGAAGAGGAATTGGCCACATAGCAGAAGAAACTTAGTGGAGCAAAGACCTCGTGATTCTGGGTTTTGAAAGTCTCTTTGCCAGGTTGAACACTGAGGGCACTGGGCAACATTTCTTGGTTGTGGCCCTCATTGTCTGGCCTAGGGCATTGATTGCGTACATTGGAAACCTGAAGTGTAAGAGCATAAACCCTGAGTGCTCCCACAGTTGGGAGGTTGGCAGCCAGCAGTATGAATGGGTACCTCTCCCCTGCAGCCAGGTGGCTGCTGGCCATGGTGGACTTTCTGGGTCACCTGCCTCCGGTGTCACCTCCCCACCCTCATTGCCTCTCTGCCTGCACCTACCTTTTTCTTAGTTCTATTCCTAGCCAAGCACGAATAGTATCCTCATTTTGAGATGTCAGCTGACCCACATCTGTAGGCTTTGTGTGTTTCATCTCTGCAGGACGTTTGAATCATTTCTTTCTTTTCAGAATCATTTATCCTTTTATTCAAAGGACACACACATACACCCCTACACTTACGCCTACACCTTGTCCAGTCGCCCAGCAGCTTTATAGTGACTACCCTGTGACAGGGCTGCAAAGGTTGGTTCATTATGAGCAAATCACTCCCCTTGGTATATGAGGGAAGAGATCTGGGGTCCTTTGAAGCAGTTTGACCATAAGCCTAAGAGCTATGATTATTTGCCATTCTTTGAAACCTTAAAGAGGGACTTAAATACTTTTTCATAGAATGTGGTTCTTTTGCTAAGTAATAGGGCAAGTGAAAGTGTTGCTTAAAAGTCCTTCCTTTGCTCCTGATAGTTTTTCCAGGAACTGCAAAATTAGGATTATATCTGATTGAATAAACTAGTTTCCGGAGAAAGTGAGCTCCATGACTATTGTTGCCTCCTGAAGACAGAGACTAACTTTGCAAATTAGGAAAAGGTTCACTGAAAATCAGAGGATGCTACAATGTTTGAAAACTAGAAATTTGCATGAATTGTTGGTTTGTGAGCTCCTTCTGGTGATAGAAATAGCAGTCTCAGGGTCTGTTTAGATGTAATTGCATTTATTTGATTGTATAAAGCTGGTTGCCTACTTTTGGCAATGAGATTAAAATATCTTGTTCTCAGTTTATATATGTTGTCTCATATGATAGATATTCTTAAAAATAATGTGTTTTTTTTTAACATTTTGATTACAAATAAAAATAATTTTTTAGCGTTGGTAAATGTTGAGAACACTCCATTCTTTCAAAAGAAGAATCAGACAGTGCTGTGGTGCCTACTATTTCTGACTCTTAAGAGTTTGCATGTGAAGTAGTGAGTTCTTTTCAAAATCCAGAAGGGAATTTTGTCATTTTAGTCTTTGTTCACATTCATATACATGGCATCACCTGAAACACTATTTCCAGTACATGACAGTCTTGACTGTTAAAGAACCCGATGCCCAATTGTTGGTTTGTATTTTGACTATAGGTTGAGTTAGAAGTAGAATTTGGGGGCTTTCTTCTTAAGTTAGTATCTTAGTTAATTAACTTTTTTCCCAGCTAGGATCCTGGAAATTAAACCTTCCATAGAAGGATTTTTGTGCCTTTTTTCTCAGTTTACTCAGGGATGGTTTAAGACTGCATATTCAGAAGATAAATTAATTAATCCACAGCATGTGAATGATGCTGTGGAATGGAAGTCATTTTCTTGTGGAATCTAGCTGAGCTGGGTTGCTGAACAGATGTGTAACGGAGTGGTTGATTTTGAATGAAAATGTCACAGCATTTTCAGAGAAGGTGTCATTGACCAGTTTTCCTCAGATGTGAGCCCTTTAGTTCGGAGCTATCCATTCTGTCGGTCTAGGAAGTGACCTCAGGTGGTCTTTTCAAATGCAAGCCATAAATGAAAGGCCGCATTTATTTCAGTTAGGATTTTTAATTATTATCTGTAAGTAGACTTCCCGGATTTAATGTTATGCTAAGTCTCCTTCGCACGTGTAATATGTTAAATTTTTATTGCTTTGGCCTAAAAAATCTGCTTGTTATACCTCAAACTAATATCTTTAGTCAATAAGACTTAAGTTTCTGTGAGGTAAACATTTTTAACTAGTGACAAGAATTTAAGTTGTTAATGCCAGCAATTCTATACTGTCCTATTGTGGGCCTTGTATTTGCAAGGTTTTAAAAATACCTTGTTTCACTTGTAAAAAGAAAAAAAAATCTCAGACTACCATTTGCCATTTTTTTTGCCAAGTAAATTGTGTGTTGCATATCAGTCATTTCCAATTGTTAGTTATTTGCATGCAAATAATTTAACATTTTAGAAAGGGACAAAACTTTGTTGGTTGTACTATATCTCTTTAGAATCTGGATGTAGTTCAGAAAACACTAAAGGGAAATTAACATTTCAGTTGAAGTTACAAATGTAATTTCCATCCTGTCATATTTTGGTGACCTTTTGTGACAGCTTGTCTCAATTGGAGGAAAGCATTTTTACTTGCTGATTAAAGATGTCATTTGAAACCATTTTATTACTGAGGATAGTGAAATTAATCTTGACACTTAGAACCACTAGAAAAATAATTGCTGATTCACCGCATAAAATGTGTGTGTGAACCAATCATGTAGTCAAGATTAGAATAAAAGTCTGCTGGTGAAAAGGAGATTAAATTTTCTTTCACCTGGGGTCTAGATTTATTTGGAGGGGAAGGGAATACCACAGAAACAATTTCAGGAAAATAAAATATGGCTCAGAGACTTGGGAAGAATTTGGAAATGATGATTGAGTCCATTGAAGGAAGTGGACTTCGGTGATACTTAAATTAAAACATACCCTTTCTATGAAAGAATGCATGAGAAAGCTTCCAGTGACCACTTCAGAAAATAAGCATTTACTAATTTAAGATGTATTTATCACGATTTAGGTATGATTGTAAAATAAAGGAAACCTGTTTGGGTAAATTAGAATTTCTCCCCAAGGTGTTATGATAATGTGGCATAAGGAGGTTTCTTACGTCCAGTGCCTGTGAAGCATGGTGTAGTGAGTGAGCAGCTGCTCCATATTCTACCAGTGTCTGTATTAGTGAGCTTATCCTGTGTGACCCTGCTGTCATTGGATAAGGCATCCATCTGTATCAGACTTCACAGAGTGAAGTTTTTTAAAAAATGAATATGAAAGTTTGAAATGGAAGGGTATTTTCATTCTTTAGAGAATTAACTTCTAATAATCTGATTGCAGAGTGAGTTCATTAATAGCTTTTTTTTTTGAATCAGAATGATTTGAGTCTGTGCGATTGTGTATTGATGGTGTTCTCTTCCTGGTCTCGGTGGGAAAGTCGTTCTGGTATCATAAACTGGGAAGAGAGCTTTCCCGACATCACCTGCTTCCATGAAAAGAAGTGACTGCAGAATACCTGGCCATATAAGACAGTGGTTACAAAGCCGGGCATGGTGGCGCACACCTGTAATCCCAGCACTTGGGAGGCTGAGGCAGGAGGATTGCTGTGAGTTCGAGACCAGCCTGGGCTACATAGTAAGTTCCAGAGCAGTCTGAACTACATAGTGAGACCCTGTCTCAAAAAACCAAAAACAAAAAAAAAAGGACAGTGGTTACAGATGACACCAGCCACTTCTTTTTAACTTTATGCAGCACACTTAGTGGTCTTGTAAGACTTAAAAGTCTCACTTCCACTCCATGGAGCGCAAACAGCCCAAAAGGCCTTTGCATTGTTGGGCCCTAAAGCCCAATGAGGCTCCGTGAGCGCTATCGAGGAACGAGAAACCCAGGAAGGAACACACCAGGCTAGATGGTAAAAGACCTTTATTAGTCTGGCCAGATGGCACTCTCAGAACCAAGTGGCTGGCTCAGAGAGGCCCCTAGCTCAGGGGCTGAGGTCCTCTTATAGGGAGTAAAAGAGGGGGTTAACATTTTTGGGCTCACAGACAGGGGACAAAGGTCTGCTGACTTGAGCTGGTGGTCAGCAGTCACATATTCAACAGTCATATATTGATGAGTGACAGGTACCACCCATAGGATGTCTCAAAGGTCACCAAGACACTCCAGATGAGCAAACAGTTTGTCAATTAACTTGGGGCTCTATGTCTGGAGTCTCTAATTTACAAGTAGATTCAGATCCGGACTTCAAACAATACAAGAGTGATACACATTCTTAGGCCAGGGCTGGAACAAAGGTCCGGGCTCTGGCTACAATGGGAGGGGTTCAGGACACTGTCTCCTAGGCCCTTTGCCATTTAGCAAGGGCTTGTAATTTAGGTCCCACAGTCTCAGGTGCAAATACTTTAAAATTCATGGATGATGCTTATATTTAAGAGAATATAAAGCTCAAAGGAAAAACTTCGTGCAACAGATCTCCTAGAAGGTGTAAGTATCATCACTGGCATGATGCTAGTGAAGTATGTGCCACTTTACTTCTGCTGTCATGTATTTCTTTCCTGTCTTGTGAATCTCCTATGGGCTGTTTGAAGCCATCTAACACATATATGTCTTTTCAAATAGAGCTTTCAGCAGAAGCCAAAGCTGCATTGCTTGAATTTGAAGAAAGGGAGCGGCAGCACAAGCAAGGACGCTATGGATCCCGGCGGGGAGGCAGGAGAGGTGGCTCTCTGATGTGTCGTGGCATGGGAGACCAGAGAAGAGAGAGCAGTGAGAGGGGGAGGATGAAAGATCACAGGCCTGCCCTGCTTCCCACACAGCCTCCGGTCATGGTAATCCACTGTCCTGTTCCCAAATAGTCTGAAAACTTCAGACCAACCCTAGTGGTCTTTGTGGGTGGTGTTTCTATGTTCACCTCTTAAAATGAAATTACAGATAAGTGCTAAGGTGAATGTTTCTGCTTCATAGTGTGATATGATTTCATGTGTGATCTTAGAAATGAGTCCTCCATTAACCCGGCAGTACTCAGTAATCTAGCACCTCAGCACTTCCCAAGAAGAATTGATGACCTGGCGTTCAGAAGACCAGGCCCTGGTGGATTTTACTCTGCTGCTTTGCCAATGGAGAGGGAGGAGGTTTCTTCAGAGTACTGCTTCGAAAGCTGGCCTTAATATGTTCAAATTTTAAGCAGTAATCATTTTATAAAAAATGTTTTTCTGTATACTGTTATTCCATAGATAACGTTTTTTTTTTTTAACATAATTAGCCTATGTTATCCGTAAGATATTTTTGTAATTTAGGAATAAATCATGTAATTTTAACTCGTTAAATTTTTTCTGTATTTGCTATGGTATATCTTAGACGCAAAGACAGTAGTGTCCTTTTTTGTTGTTACTTTGCTAGTCCAAGGACTTTATGGCCTTCTCCTTTGAAAGTCAGAGTGTAGGAATAAATATAGTCAGTGTCTGTCATCTGCCCATCAGAGTGCACTTTTCTCCTGTGCAGAAACATTGTAGGAGTCATTTGTTTGTGATATCATGCAGTAGGAGATGGGTGTTTTGCTTCAGTATGAGAGCCCCATGTTGATATACCAGACGGAAAGAGGAGGAGCCAAGTGGATGGCAGCCTGAGTGTTTGGTAGCATTGGAGCTGCTGTTGTGCATACAGCTGTTAGGCTGTGATTTTGGACCCATGATCCTGGAAAAGTCATAGAACTTTTTTTTTTTTTTTTTTTTTACCAAGAGAGGGAGGGCATGGGTCATGTAACTTTCAGAGAAGTTAGCCCAGGAAGAGTGTATGGAGAGATACTTGAACAACTGTCCCAGAATTGAAGGTAACCTGCATCCTGACATGAAGCTGTCTCTAAATTCTGATGGGGCTGATGCAACTGTGCAGCCAACTAAGTAGCTGCCTGACTGTGGCTGCCTAGCCAGGGGCTATGATGCAGTCTCATTTGGCTGTCAGTGGTGTTTTCCAGCTGCCAGCTAACTGCAAAGGCAGGGCTGTCCCATCCCATGACTCTTCACTCCACATTCGAGAAGGAATAATTGGGGCTCATGCCTGCTTCTGCCTGTCTCTCTGTGTCAGTTCCTCTTTGCTACTAGAGTCCACCTTCCCAGGGCCCAAGAGTAGACGCACTGTGTGGGCGCTGGTCACACCCTGGGGCCTTGGGCATCACTGTTACTGTCTTTATCTTGAGCTGCTTTTATTTGGGTGTATGAGATTTGCTGTGATGTTACAATACATGTAAACCTCTGTGCAGTGCTTATATCAAACTAATTAACATCTCCATTACTTCATGTCCTTGTGTGTGTGTGTGTGTGTGTGTGTGTGTGTGTGTGTGTGTGCAATGAGAATAGATGAGAATATTTAAAGCTCACTCTTTTACCTTTTTGTTATGTTGTTTCTCATCTCACGAGGCAGCTTTCTTAACCATCCACTCCCATCTCTGTAAATTTCACCTCCAAGTGACTTATTTTCACTCTTATTTTCTGCATGTCATGTATCCTTGTAAGCTTTCTGCATGGGTGTTTCACAGGACCTGAACTTCTCTTGAAGTGAGTAACACAAGATCTTTCCTTAAGACTCCAATATCCTTTTCTTATATTACGACTGTGTATGGTAGTCCTTTTTGGTTCTATTAAGTTTTCTTGGGGTGTTCCCATGGTGGGGAGTGTGCTCTTTCTGGGGATATATTGATGAGAACAGCCCCATTCTCATTGTGTGCGCGTTAAAAGGTGATGAGTGTGAGAAGAGTGTGGCCTGGATTCTGGGAGTGGGAATCTTGGAATCTTTGGAAAAGTCTTCCCAGAAGAAGGCTAGGAAGGAAGCCAAGGTCATTACAATGTAGTTTTAAATTCTGCAAATTGTTCCTTTGAATGGTGTCTTTGCTGTCCCTCAGCCCTTGGCTGTTTCTTTTATTTCCCTCAAGCTGTGTCTGATGGACTGCTCTGTGTTCTTTCTTTTTCCTCTCATCCATCTCAACTTGCCGCTGTTAGTGACTGTCTTCTTACCAAAGACTCCTCAGGGATTCTCATCAATGCATTGTATATGGCGTAGTAACGATTTTTCCCTTGGAATTCAGTATTCCTCACCCTCCATAACTTGGCATCTTCCCAGGGGGGAACTGCTTGTTAAATTACCCTGCTAAATTAGTGGTGTTATTGCTCATTAGCTATGTGGTCAGTTTGATTAGTGGTTAAAAACAAAACTTGTGGAATCAGAGAGTGTGAGTTCTGATTCCAGCTCTTTGCTTCCCAGTTGCACGGTCTGGTAAAGAGGAGGACCTACCTCTTGGCGGGGGTGCTGCCCTGTGAGCTGACCTCATAGTGGACTTGAGACAAGTAGACTCAGGGCATTGTGGCTGCTGCTGTTGATTTTCCTCTCCTTAGTGACTGGGACAGAACAGTTTGGAGATCTTTGACCACTGCCTTCCTTCCTTCTCCTTTTCATGTCTACAGCCATACTGGTTTCCTTCTCCTTTGCCAAACAGGCCAGTAGGCTTCTGTCCCTCGGCTTCTGTCAGGTGATTCTTTTACTCACCAATGTGGTGCCTTGCTTTTCTTTCATCACAGCCTGGCGCAGCACCATCTTCTCAGAGAAGTTCCCTCTGTGGCATCTCTCTCTCTCTGCCACCCTGGCCTTTTCTTAAGCCTGAGGTCCATGGCAGGGTTGCTCATGTATTTTCTTGTCTGCCTCCTGAGACTCCTGGAGCAGGAAGAATGGGGTTGGCCATACCTGGAGGTCAAAGGCAGCTTTGTTCTATCTCCAGCTGGTCAGCTTTGCTTGCTGTGAGCAGTTTGGGTTGCTGGATTGCATTTTTTCTTCTGAAGTGATGGGTGTTCTGGAGCTGCCATTTTTTTCCCCTCGCTGTGTACTGGCTGACTGTGAAGCTGTCCCTCTTTGTGGTAGATGGAGCAGCTTATTTTTCCTGTGGTTTTTATCCAAGTTGTCACTGTGTACGTAAATCTTAAATTTTAAAAGTTGATCATTGTAAACGAGTAGCGCAGCAGCATTTTTTTTCTTTTTAGTTTCTTGCATGTGTTGATTTCTGTGCTTTTTTTCTTTCTTGTGGCTCCTAGACTCACTCTCCGAGACTGATCCCCCCTCCGCAGCCGCAGCCACCCCCTCCACCTCCACCACAGCAGCAACAGCCCATCAGGAGCCTGTTCCAGCAGCAACAGCATCCGCAGCCTCTGCTCCCACTGCAGCACCCACATCATCCGTCCCCACCCCAGGGCATGCACATGCCCCCCCAGATGGAGGCCCCTCGAGTGATGCTGACACCACCTCCTGTGACTCCACAGCAACCCAAGAATATCCACATCAACCCACACTTCAAGGGTACAGTGGTGACCCCTGTTCAAGGTGCATGTTCTTTCCTGGTGCTGTTACAAGTGCTGTGATCCAGGGCCATGCTGTCTGTGTGGCAGAGTGCTACTGAATTCAAGTCTAAACAGACATTGTTCCCTTGGCACTCTCCCCACCCCTTAGACACACTTAGTTTGATGGCCTAGTTAATTTCCACACAGTGACAAGCTCATGTTTTCTGATAGAGTGGAAAGTACCGAAAGGACATTCTCGTTGGAAACACATACTAGAAATAGCTGTTGAGATGCCTGAGTAGATAACTTCATGTGTCTCCTGGGGTATTGCTGGAAGTGATGAGTGACCCTCTTGGGTCCTGCCCAGTATGCTCCTTTACTTCACCCCAGGTCATCTTGCAGTTACTGCCTTCCTATCCCTGTGGGTGCTGGGAGAACAAGAACATGGGCCAGCACTGGGTGCTATTGTGAGTAGCTGCACTTGGCACCTTGCCCTTCGTGTGGCAGTGTGCACTGCTTCATCCTGGTGCCTCAGGCATGAAGAAAACAGGAGACAGAGCTCTCTGTGACTCATGGACTGAAGCAGTCTGTCAGCAGGGAATGTAGCGGTAAGGGTTCAGCGTGGCGTGGCATGGTGCAGCAGGAGCACAGAGAGTGTGGGGAGGGGCTGGTGGCATCAGTGGAGCAGTTAGAGTGGCTTCAGTAGCTGGCTGTTAGGGAAGAAGGTCGCAGGCCAAGGGACTAGCATGTACCAGGGGCTTATTCAAGGCAAGCCTGTGCCTTGTGTGCTTGAAGCCACCAGGAGACCAATGTGACTTTAAAGGGATGACAGAAGCAAAGAGGCGTAGAGCCAAGTTGTGTCTGAGCTGTCCTACGAATGTGGCTTTCCTCTCCAGGTTATGAGAAATGCCTTGGTCTGGCATGTGCTGCTTTTTTGTGAAAGGGCCTGTCATATGACCTGGGGGAAAGTGGGAGGTGATGATGGCAGGGGCCTACTTTCAGATGCCAATGGGTAGGATGGGGGTGTTGCCATCACTGAGCAGGAGGAGACTGAAAACTCTGGGATGTGTTACATCTGAGTGGAGGAAGTAAGTGGGAGGGTAGAGTGGTAGGAAGGCCTTCAGGGTTCTGGGGTGAAGAGGAGGAGGTATAAGACTGGCTGAGAAGGGGGAGAGTATGTATCATTGTTGCCAGGATTTCGGCAGTGTTCTGCAAAACATGAGTTTATTGGAAGTGGGTTTGAAAGAAAGCTTTTTATTTTAAGCTGTGGAGGATTGCATTGCATACATAGAGAAAACCAATCATTGGTGCAGAGGAGAGAGAAAGCTTGTCCTGGTAGGACTGAACAGTGTGTTGAGATGAGGATGGGACCCATGGCCACCACTGTGAGTGACATCAGTGCCAGGCTGGTGGCAGACGGTGTTCTGGGGCTGGTATAAGCACCTAAGTGGGGAGGTTGGGGACACAGGCAGCCAGAAGTGAGAAGTCCTGAAGCTACCAGTCTAGGACTGAAGAGGGATGTGGGGGGCAGCAGCTTGCTGTCTTCTCTAGCTATGCCCACCCCCTGTTCAGGTGGCTGGGCCAGGAGATGGTAAGGAGGGAGGTTTGGAGAGCAGGGTGTTGAGGGAGCGAGGTGGGAAGAGAATGTGGTACTAAGAATCAGAGGCTGGCTTTGTTGCAGTCAGGGACAGGTAGGTGGTGAGCACTGCTGAGGTGGCTAGGGCTGAGGGACAGGGTGCTGGGAGAGCCAGGGCATAGACAGGGTGATTGTTTATAGGCTGTGGCAGTGATCAGGAGCTGACCTCCCTGGCTGGGGTGGGGGTGGGGTACATGGGCTGATGAGAGGCATCATGGTGGCAGGAGATTGAGAGTGGGTCTGGAAAAGTGGTGAGTTGCGAAGAAGTCAAAGTCTTTTAGAAGGACAGTTACCCCCGAGGTTCCTTCCCAAGGTGAAGGCCCAGGGGATGGTGAAGGCATTACTGATGGTAACTGCAGCTTCCCATCAGCAGTGGGATTACTCAACATGTAACGCGGACTGGGGACTTACCCCAGAGAACTTACACTCTCACAATATGGAGTCCACATGCCCAAGGTGAAGGCAAGCGCAGCCTGTCCTTGTTCCCCGTGTCCAGTATATCATCCCACTCAATGTGTGCACATGGCTATGGCTAAATTGACCCTTCTTACAAGAAAAATAGATTAGATCACAGCTCACCACAAAGACTGCATTTTACCTTAATTACCTTATCTCCAAATACATCATATTTGAGGTCCTAGGGGTAGGTTCAACTTACAAATTTGGGTACATTTTATTCCCCAACTTCTGATCATTGGAGAGCTTCCTAGGTGCGTGTAGTAGTACATTTGAGTGAGGAATACAGCTCCTTGGAGGTAGTGAGCTTTTTTCAAAATCAAGATCAGTATAGTGATACATTTTAAAGAGCTTAGCATATCTGATTTATCCTCAAGGTATGAAATTAACATCTCACCTCTCTATTAGTGAAATGTCTTCTTTAAAATGATTTCTTGATCATCTGGTAGGTTGGTGAGAGTTTTAATTTTTGGAAAACAAAAATAGTTGAAAATCTTAGCATAATAGTTTGCTCATTTGGTCGTTTTTTATAAGGGTGTGAGCATTTATTCCAATTTCTAGGGTATGCTATTTTCCTGTTTGCCTTATCTCCTTCCTTTTCATGATTTTAGAGGATTTAGATTTAAATTTGAGTATTATTAGGGCAGGAGACATCACTGGGATTGGATAGCCTAGATAATCTGTTCAGGATGTAGAAAACAATCTAGAGGAATACTGTCTTCTTTTGTTGCAAAATACTGTGATTCCTCTTAGTGACAGCTTCAGCTTTTGCTTGTGTGCTGAAGAAACCTACTCTCCCTTCTGGTTTACACAAGTATAAACCTAGTGTTTTATGGTGTGTATGCTACATGTACTGTGTGTCTTAAACGAGACTTTATAGGTTGTCTATTTTCCTGTGGGGCCAGATGGGAAGTGATGGTAACACAGGGTGTTTTGTTGCAGTGCCCTTGCTGCCAGTTCCAAGCCAGCCGAGGCCCACCGTGGGACCCCAGAGATTCCCAGTGAGTAGCATCTCCCCTTCTTATCTGAAGGGGAAGAACCCACACATTTTATAAGAGATGCAAGGGCACCAGCTACACACAACTCTGAGTATCAGTAAATATTGACTGGAATCGCTGCCATGGAAAATGTTTGTTAAAAGTTTAAGGCCAATTGATTTTTGAAAGTGGAATTAATTTTATTTAACTGTAAAATTTTCCAATTAGGATCATCGGCAGAATGCCTTTCATCTTAAAGAATATGAATTCTGATTTTGTTACTGCCCTAGGTTAAGTGAAAAGGAAAAGTCCTTTATTAAGAGTGTAGGGGGAGTTTGGGAGGTATGTGTGTCAAATTCAGGTAATAAAAATGAGATCTGCTTATTTTTCAAAAGAGCCATCAGAGTCTTAATGAGGTGTTTGTTGAATGCTTTTAACAAAGTTCCTCTTTCAAATTTTTTTAAAAAGCATACATTCATATTTTTGCTCCCTCTTGTACACATAGACACAGGCATGTACACTTTCCTCTACGTTCTTTAATTAGAAGAAAAATGTCTATTAACTGGCTCTTATTTAAATATATGCATTTTATTTTATTTGAATTTTTGGTTTGACCTTATAGCCTGTTCATATTTCATTAAATAATGGATATGTTTGTTTGTTTGTTTGTTTTAACTGTGGAAGAAATGGGCCAGGCCATAAAATTGTAGTGTCACTTGTATGTAAACCAGAGAGTCTTATTTAGCTTAAACAATTTAATTTTCAGGAAATATTTAAATGACCTATTTGACTGATTAGCTTTGATAGTCCAGTAGATAAAATTTTTATAGGGAATTTACCAAACAGGTTTAAACTAAAAACACACCTGTTTAATTAGGTGGTGACTGAAAAGTAAACTCAGTATTGAATTTAAGATTCTAAGTATTTTTAGAGGCCTTCTTGATTGTAGTTATTTACGAATTATGTTGTGGTTTTTGAAGCTGGTTCCATTTGGTCTCATTCTTATATTTAGCTACAATTTGTTTTAGATTACTGATCAAGTTCTGAAAAAAAAATTTTTTTTTAATCTTTTTTTTTTTTGATGGGGGGGTTTGAGACAGTGTCTCACTATGTAGTTGAGACTGACCTGGAATTCACTATGTAGCCCAGGCTGCTCTTGAACTCACAGTGATCCTCCTGCCTCAGCCTCCCAAGTGCTGGGATTACAGGCGTGAGCAACCACTCCCAGCCTGTTTATTTTAAATCTTTTTAAAAATTCATTATTTTAAAAAATGTAATTGTTTATTGAGCACCAATGCTTAATTCAAAGGACTTTTCTAAATAGCTGAGGTTAGTATTGTGTTGCCCAAGGCTCCTGTGATTTTAGCCATTAGATACATTGTTTCTGAGGAAGTAGTTCATCTGCAAATTATTATAAAGTACCAACAGTTTAAGCATTTTTTACCCTTTCTCAAGATTGTGAACATCTGTGTTGAAATCATTATTGAACTTATTTTCATGTTTTGTTTATAGGCATACAATTTGATGAGAAAAAGCACTTATAATTTTAAGAAATAAACAGAAAGCAATAATTATATTATTGATGTTTTGGTAAAAGGGTGCTTACTAATAATAAAATTAGGATTAGTTACTTGCAATTTTCATTTATATTTTTCAGTTTGTGCAAACAATTGTATCTGATACTAGAAGAAAAAAATACTTTGAGAGTGTTAGAGGAAAATAAAAGATAATTTTTTGAGAAATAGAACTTAATTTTTAAGTTGTAGAGACTGAGGATGGTAAATATTGTTGAACTGTTGTGATTAGAAATGTTCTTGGCAGGTATGAAGTTTTGTATTTGAGGTGGGAAGTGTATGTGGGTGGGAATGGTGGGCTTGCAGGTGGTGATGCTTTTGGAGCCCAGCTCTCCTGTTAGCCCCAGCTGCTGGACCAGAAGCTGAAGTTACAGTGAACTTGTGCTGTGGGAGATGCAGTGCTGTACTTATATAATCAATCTCCCTTAGAGAAAATAATGGAATGTGGAATCTTATTTTTTTGTAAATGCAGATTATGTTTTTATTAAGTCCATCTGAATCCTGTTTAGGAGGATAATAAACTCTCTGCTGTCTCCTGTCATTTCACTTAAGCCAGTTCTTTGTTTAAGTAAAATTTTTTTCCCCATTTCTACTACTAGATTAAACTTGGTTGTTTATGAATGTGAATTTAATTTTGTAAATATTTACCAAGGACCTACTTTATGTCAAGTGTTCAAGGTCCAAGTATAATTAAGTGGAACCTAACTTACAGCTTTAAGATAATTTTCATTCTGAGTATAAAACAATGAAGACAGTACAATATTATGGTTTAATAAAGTGCATTGGAGATCTCTTATTGGCCAGGTGTTCTGCAGGTTCTCCCATACTACTCTTCTGTTGTTCTGGCTCAATCAATATTCATTACACTGAAGTTTAACAAAACATTCAAGTTTGGAAACCTAATTTCATATTCAAAGTAGGATGTTTGAATCATTGTATTTCCTTGGTACATAAGACTAGATTTAAATTGGAAGTCTTTGTACCAGTTGGCATGAAATTGGTAATTGAGCAAAGCAAGGTCCATTGTAATCTTGTCATTTCCCAGTTTGAGTCCCTTTCAAGGACCCATCGGAGGACAAGGTGCACACACAGTTGCTCTTGTCAGTCAGGCTGTACATTTCCCTATATTTGTGTGATGTCTGGTGAAGGCCTGTTGATGAACCTCTGTGCAGATTCCCTGTCATCCTGTGCACAGTGGTGCAGCCTCAGCCTAGGTCTTTGAGCACAGAAGGCACAGACGAAATTATAGAACACGTGTACACAGGCATTCAGTGCTAATACTGAATTACCTTGCCACTTCCAGGAAGCCTTGCGCAGAATGAGTAGTGTAGATAAGGGATACACACACACACACACACACACACACACACACACACACAGAGGCATACACATACATACACACATTTTTTTTTTTTTGGTAGCAGTGATCAAAAGGGACATATTTTAATGTGTTGTTTTTTTAAAATTTATGTTGCTTTTAAAGATACATAAATGAATTTGCACGATAGAGTTATGTTGCGCACACTGAACTGTAAAAAAAATTCAGCTCTGTGCCCAGCTAATAGGAAAGGAGGATAGGTGCTGGAGAGTAGATAGAAGTAGCGTTATTTCTAAATCTTCAAGGATCTTATATTTGTCACTTGTGCTAAAGTAAAGTTTTCCTTATTTTCCCCAGGAGTGGGGCACTTGACTTGCTTAAAGTCAACTTAGTGTGACAATTATATGGAAACTTTAATGGTTCTTAATTTTGACTTGAGTTGTCTAGATACTTTGCTAAGTGATAGTGCCTCAACACTCCCCACCCCCACCACTTGGAACTGAGAGTAGAACCTTGGGGACTTTAGGTGTGCTAGGTAAGCATTCTGCCCTTGAGGTGACCCCCCAGTTCATGTCTCTAGTTTTTAAATAATTACAGAGAACTCTAGGCAACCTGATATGAAACATTGTTTTTCATGGAATTATTTAAAATTATTATTAACTCTTATCACCTAACTACATCCCCAACTGATCTGATATTCCCCAATTGACATTAATTTTAAAAATTCAAATCCTAGGCCAGAATACCTTTTAGGCTATACTAGATAGAGTAAGACTAAATTTTAATTTCCCATAAATGAATATTACTTAGCAAATTGAGTAAGCAATTTTTAAAGCAAAAATTTGAATGTCAGAGTGGCATATGTCATAAGAAAAGGATCTTTGTATTTATTATTTTGAAAGAAATGGTTTTAGTTCTTTAGTGTTTTGGTCATGTTAGTCTTTGCAGCTAGATGAGGTGTCTAGTCTTTTACTTATTTAAGTAATTCTGTGAAGCACTTTGTAAGTTAGCTTCTAGTAAAGATTATATTTATGTACTTAACTGTAGTTATAGATATAGCTGATAGTGCTAAACTCCATAATGTTTCTTCTTAAACTTATTTTTGTTGCCCATTTTTGTAAAACAGAGTTATGAATCTCTTGCAAATATGAAATGTGTCTCAGTTGATACCGTATCAGGAATGACTTTTTCATTCTCATTTCCTTGTCAGAACATTAATCTTCCTAATGTAAAATGTATGTCAGCTATAGACCATGTTTGCAGTACATAATCATTACATTCATTGTGAAGAATTGGTGCATGTACCTAATGCATCCTCATTCTTTTTTCATCTTGCTCCTCTCCTTTCCCAGTAGTGAAGACTTACATGAGCTGATGGACTTTGGAAATAGCATATACTGGGAGTTCACAGGTCCTGCTTTTTAGCTCTTTGCTGTTCCTGCTACCTAACAGACCACTCATTGTGTTCATGTCAGGACCTTCAGGTGTAATTTCACAAAACATTTGTTTCTGTTATTTTGTTTTATAGGAAAGTGGGTTTCTAGTGGATTTGCTAGTTCTCCTTGAATGCAGTCAGAGTCTGTGTTTCTATCTGAATTCTGTGTTCTTCATTTAACATGTTAATAATCTGATTGGTTTCTTCTATAAAGGCTTTCCCCGTTTTTGTTTTTTGTTTTTGTTACTAATATAAAATTGCAAATCTTTTTCTTGATTTTTTTCCACTCACATTTTTATCATTGAAGAGATCTTGTTTCTTACTGAAACTTATTGCTTGCTTATTGAAAGTTAACACAAAAATCTCAATTGTTGAAATATTTTAAAGTATTACATTGAGATTTTTCTAACCTTTTTTTTCTTTTCCTGTCTAATTGCTATTTTTCTGGATAAATCCCAAATAATCCATATTTTCAAGATTCTTGACCTAAGGTATTTTAGAACCAATATAGCCTTTTTTTTTTTTTTTTTTTTTTTTTTTTGGTACCGGGGATTAAACTTGGGACCTTGCGCTTGCGAGGCAGGTGGCTGACCTCTGAGCTAAATTCCTGGCCCCCAATATAGCCTTTTGATTTTGCATTGGTGTGTTGGGTGAGGATATTTTAGTTAGCCATTTGAATACAAGTAGTTCAACTGTT